CCGAGCCCTGATTTGAATACTGAGGAGTCTATAGATCCTCTATACAGATTCAGTCCTCCTCTCTCATGAATACAAAATGCCAGTTTAATGTGCTCTTTGATAGACTGCCTGCTCTGGCGGTACACGTTCGTGCCATGGCCTGATGGAACGACAGGACAGTCAGCAGTGTGGAAATGAAGGTTAAGACTGGAGAGAGAGAGACTGATTTATCATTGTTCGTTTTGTTGTTGTTGTATTTTTTTTACCTTGGCTTGGTGGACATATTAATCAAAAGATATCAGGTTCTCAGAGTTCTGAAGTAAAGGATACATTTTCTTACATGAGGGTTGTTTAACCAAATGAAAGGGCTACACTTGTTTTTCAATCCCAGTGCTGCAATAATACATCTGACTTGGACTTAAATTGTGTCTTGGAGCAGAAAATACAATGGATAGGGACCCAAGAACCCCAGAACTTTCCTGTTTAAGTTGTTATTTGTTTGTGAGACTGTAGATATCTACAGTAGTAACTCAAGGGTTAACCGGAAGGTTGTAAGCCTTCATTAACACATACAATATAAACTGCTTCAAATATTTCATAACACTGGTCTGAAAAGCTAAGCAAATGTAATGGGAGCATGCTAGATTATGGATGGATTACATGTTTTATTGCCAGATTATGGATGGATTACATGTTTTACTGCCTGCTTAAGGACTTTGACTACAAAAATGCACACAGAGTCAGAGCCAAACTGTGATGTAGAAACCAAAGACAGAAATCTTAAGACTGTTTAGATACACACAGCCTAAATAATGTATGTAGTTCATCTAAATTTGGAAATCAATTTGTCTGAATCATTTAAGACACATTTAAATAGAATTAATTGCTGGCAAACGATCCATCACTAGAGCTGTAAATCCAGTCACTAGAGCTGTAGAGCTCATTAATAGAGCTAGAGCCGATTACTAGAGCTGTAGACTAACTCACTAGAGCTACAGCCTATTAAAAGAGCTGAAAGCTCATCAATAGGGCATCATAGCTCATCCCTAGAGCTGTAGCTTCCAACATTAAGCAGTACAGCCCATCATTAGAGCTGTACATTCCATCACTAGATTCAATTATTAGAGCTATTAAACCCATCACCTGAGCTTAATTGCATCAGCAGTGCTACAGCCCATCACTAGAGCAGTAGAGACCATGAGTAGAGCACTGGACTGCATTAATAGAGGTATAGATTCCATCATCACTAGAGCTGTAGATGCTATCACTGGAGGTGTAGAGACCATCACTAGAGTTGGAGATCCCATTACTAGAGCTGTATAGACCATCACTAGAGGTGTAGAGAACATCACCTTAGAGATGTAAAAGCCATCATTGGAGCTGTAAAGTAAATTAGTAGATCCCATTAAATACCACCATAGATCCCATCAGTAGAGCTATAGATCACTAGAGCTGTAGAGACCATCCGAAAGCTGTAGCTCTCATCACTAGAGCTGTAGAGACCATAATTAGAGCTGTAGATCCCATCTCTGGAGCCCACTAGAGAACAGAAGAGCAGTAGAACCCATCACTAGAGCTGTAGAGACCATCTGAGAGGTGTAGCGACCATCATTAGAGCTGTAGATCCCATCTCTGGACCCCACTAGAGAACACAAGAGCAGTAGAACCCATCACTAGAGTTGTAGATCCCCACTACTCGGAGCAGTAGATCCCATCACTAGAGCTGTAGAGCCCCTCAGTAGTGCAGTAGAGCATTTACTAGGGTGATGGGGCACTAGAGTATTAGAGCTATAGATTCCATCATTACACACCATCTGTGGTGCTGTCAGGGAAGCAACAGAACCAGTCATCAGAGCTGTTGATCCCATTAGAGCTCCAGAGCCAAATACTGTACCAGAGGGATAAAGCCCATCGGCAAAGCAGTAGATCCTACCACTAGATCTGTTGATGCCAAACACTAGCGCTGGATAACACATTCTTACTGGGACTTATCAACAGCCCAAGCAAGCTGCATTAAAAAGCAAAGGAAAAATCGACTTCTTGATTGTAATGATGCCAGTCCAAGAGAACCAGACAAAGAAACTGGCCTTGGGCAGAACATGGTCAATATGCATGAGACATTAAACTGCTGTGCTCCGCTGGCTTTATATACTGAGTATGGATGGTTTTAATCAACTGAGTATATTTGATATTAAATTCAGTGGGAACGCTGGAGGATATGCCTGGGCTGAAAAGAGGTATTGTCGGAAAACAGTGACATTTATTGCTGGAGCCATCCTCAAACCCACAGCTTGCCTGAATATAGCCACGCAGGGATTTCAGTGCTACACAGCTTGTATGGTACTGTGTGCTTTTGCTTTTCAATCCCTTGTTGCATTATGATCAAGGCTCTAATATTCAGATGCTACTCAAAACTATTGTATTCACTCCTTAGCAATGACTGTCAGGCTGTTCTAGGCCATCTCTGTTAATTTTATAGCAACCTAGATAAAGATAAAAATAAAGATCTTAACGCTGCAGGACACACATGCATTCCACTATATATATATATATATATATATATATATATATATATATATATATATATATATATATACTTTTAGAAAATTCATCTTAAATGTTTGGTCTTCTGCATTACTGTGTTGGTTAAAAGAAAATCCAAAAAAATTTAATGTTTCAGAGAAAACTTTGTATGCTATTAAATAAAGGAAGATACTATGAAAAAGGCCACTTTTCAGATAAAAGCATAATTGCATCATGGATGCTTGAAATAACCTACCAGGCAATTTCATTATAAAAGTATGTGACAGTGTAGGTGGCATGGTGTTGCTGTTTTACATCTCCAGGGTCCATGATTCGATCCTGAGCTCAGGTTACTGTCTGTGAGGATTTTCACATGTTCTCCCTGTGACCGTGTGTGTTTCCTCCAGGTTCTCTTTCCGGCTTTCCTCCCACCTCCCATAAACATGGTGGTAGGTGACCAGGCTACACTAAATTGCCCCTAGACATGAATGGATCTGGCTAGTTTCGTTGCTGGCTGGAAAAATTAGCCCAATCCCCAGAGAAAACAGAGTGCAGTCCTTTTTTTTTTTAGAAATATAAAGAGAATTTTTAAGAAATGTTATATATTTGAGAGATGGAGCCATGCACATACAGTGTCATGATTTTTAGTATTGTTCCACCTTTAACGAAAATGTAAAATGTGTCTCCAAGATTGAAATGCATGATCCTCAGACATTGTTTAGATGCTGTTTAGAGAGATTACTGTGAAAGTCATTGCATGAACCGCAAGGGGTAAAAGCATATCATCAGACTGAAGCAAAGGCAATTTTTTGCGTTCACTGTGAAGTAATGCAATTCTGCCTGGATCTGTGTTTTAAAAAAAGAAAGAAAAAAAAATGTGTAATGAAGAATAAAGATGGTATACACATTGTCATTCTGTATTGCACATCTCGGCAAAATGAGTCTTTTAAATATAAACCCAAAAACAAGCAAGGTCCACTTCACCACCTCAATATGCATGAGCTTATTTTGACCAGAGGAGACGAGTGCAAAGCCGCCTGCTGTGATTGTTTTTTTTTTTTTTTTTTTTTTTTTTACGAGATTGTCGCTGATGCAAAATTGAACATCATAATTCCTGAAACAAGGCTCTGGTAGCCTCCATCACGTCGCTTGGCCCTGAATTCACCACTCTTTGGACACGAATGCCTAATGGCCCTAACAGCCTGCGCTTCAATTTACAGCTGCAGAAAGATGCATATCACAGAGGCACACTGTCTAGCGCTCGGCGAACCGTTTTCTCCAAACATATACCAGAAAATGAGCTATTAAAATGCATGAGAGGGCTCTCAGTCTACTAAACGCCCTGCACAAAAGAGGGTATTTACATGAGCGTTCTAGACGACTCGTAAATTCACCGCGAGGTGTTTGAGATGGATGACATTTAAGGGGACTCCCTGTCACGAGAGTGGACTGGAAAGTGGACGTGTGTCACTGATGCAGATTATTGGCTTCCAATCCCAATTTACAGAACCTGCTTTCTGTTTTTGAATGTAAGGCTGCTCATCAGTCTGGCCATGGATTAATTGAACACAAACGAACTGGGATTAAAAGTGATGGTAAAATTTGGTTAAATGTTAAATTGACACGACATTTATCAAATGTAGCAGGTCAGTCAAGACATAGTGTCTGATGTCGGAAATTTGCTTCTTTAGGTTTGACAAGCTGTAAGGCACGCCTAAGTCATCACACACTCACCTCATGCATTAAAATAAGACTTCTGACACTGTGTCTTTAAAAATGGACAAAAGGATGTCACAGTACTAAAAATAATTATTGTAGCCTTTCTTAAGCACGAATGACTTTCTTCCACAGCGCATAGTTTTATATGACCCCATGCAAGCATCAGACTTAAATAGGAGATGTGATTCTTTACGTATTCTGCTATTATATGAAACTGTTCTGAGTGTATGATGACAAACTGGTAGCTATAAAGCTCTCTAGTGGCGTAACAGAGAAGCATTCACGTTATCGTTGAAAATTGAATCCTGACAATATCACAGTCGGTGGCCGGGAGTCCACGACAGAGTAGCTGGCCGTGATCTCTGAGTGGGAGGAATAGCATTACTCTCCTCTGAGAGGGTTACAATGTCCTGTGATGTAGCATGAGCAGCAGTTCAAAAAGATATGATGGCCAGCTTCATGTGTCTCAGAGGAAGCATGTGTTAGCCCTCACATTTCCAGTTTTTAGCTGTTGTGTGATGGGGAAGAACTAGTTACTGGGAAGGAAATGGAAATTACTAAAATTGGAGGAAAAAAATTGAAAAAAGAAACACTGGTAGCTAGGGGTAACATATAACAAATGTTTTTACTAGTTGATCAGTAATTAAGAAAGTAGTCGACTAGTCATCTTTTCCATAGTTCAAGCAAAAACTCATTTAGGATATTCAATATTTTTCAGTTAGTTAGTTAGCGCAGGGCCTGGTGGCTTAGTGGTTAGCATTGTTTCTGCAAGTCTCCAGGGTTGGGGGTTCAAATCCCACCTCCGCCCTGTGTGCATGGAGGTTGAATGTCCTCCCTGTGCTTCAGGGGTTTCCTTCAGGTACTCTGGTTTCCTCCCCCTATCCAAAGACATGTGTTGTAGCCTAATTGGCATTTCCAAATTGTCCGTAGTGTGTGTGTGCGAATGTGCCCTGTGATGGGTTGGCACCCCGTCCAGGGTGTCCCCCACCTTGTGCCCCGAGTCCCCTGGGATAGGCTCCAGGCTCCCCCGGGACCCTGCATAGGATAAGCAACACAGAGAAAGGAAGGATAGTTAACGCCGTTAAATGCGGATAAACAATAGCAAAGAACATCTTGTTCAACTCTGGCCTCAAAGGCATCCATGCCTGGATCAGCCTTTGTGAGCTGACAGGCTTTAAATTAGTCAAGTGGGCACAGAATGCATTCTTTCACACAGCGCTGGCTACGATGGAATTTACTACGCCAGCATCCAAGGACATTATTCAAACCTTATCAAAGTTTTTTAAAGGCAACAAAATTTGGAGGAAGTCCTTCAGGAGCAGGCATGAAGTGTATACAAAGTGATATGAAAGTTCATTTGACCTGTATTTCGTTATAGTCTGCCTCACTACTGTTCTTTTCACTGCCCCGACTAGCCGACATCCCCACAGTCTATGCAGCACATACTGCTAGCTGTAAGTCAAAAGCTGGTTAGATACACCACTAAAGAAATATGACTTCAGACATACAGTATCTTGGCTGATAGACTGCATTCGGGGTAAGTGAAAATCATATATTTCATGTTCCTTAAGTTGTAAAATGATTCAATGAATCCTTCAAAAATTGCAACTACACCTTTAGAACATGGTTCAGGTGTGTTGGATTAAGACTGGAACTATTCGGAAAGGGATACTGGACAATCCTGGTCTGGAACATGCTGTTACAACAATGCAATTACTATAAAAATTAATAGCATATGCATATAATAAACGAGTATGGGATGAGTGCCAAGTGAAAGTAGTGACGGAGAGCCTGAACTGGAACTTAGCCTTGTACCTTCTCTTTACACCTTCTCCTAAGCTGAAGCGTTTCCTACCATCCCTGCCGCATGTATCACGTCCACCCTCGGTCCTTCCAGAACCTTCTGACAACATCAATGATTAATGACAGGAAAAATAATTGAGCCAGCAAGGAGAGAGACAGAGGTCGGGAGATGACTGGCAAGCCAGAGAGAGGCTGGGGGCCTAAAGATCTATATCGGGACACGCGAGGCATCGTTCAGTCATCTGTCTATTCTTTATCTATCTCTCTCTCTTTCTCTCACCTTCCCCAGGCATTTTTCTTTCACTGTGGCCTTCAGGAAAAGTCACTCATTCACAGCGCCAAGCACAAGGTGCAGCCAAGGCCAGAGGGCCACGGATCAATACTTCATTTGCTGGGCGAGATTTACTTTCCTTCGCTGTATCAAACTCATCAGATGTCGAGAAGAAAAGGAACAGGATTTGGTGGAAAACTACACACATGGCCTTTAATTTCCCAGACATATGAAAGGTTTTTAGAGGGCACGGCCCATTACGAGTCCAATCATGTGCACAAGGTCGGGACCTAAATATGCTTAAAACCCAAATCAGGTGTCTTTGAAAAGTGTTTTTTAGTTCTACAACCTCTGTTTTAATTAGAATAGCAGTAGTAAATATATCGTCTGCACATTAAGTCGGTCTGGAGTATAATTCAGCTGGATCCACAGCTCGAGCTACAAGGAAATCACAGGTTCATATCAAGCATTCTAACACATTATCATTTCTATAGTAACAACATACACAGGGACTTGTATGTGTAAGTTTTCTGTAAGGAGTCTCCAGTGTCAGTGCTTTGTAACAGTCAGAGTTAAAGCTGTAAATTTATATTTGAGACGTGACAGAGGACATTGAGCTTTGAGGTGTCTCTGTAACATGTTATGTAAGCTGCATTTTTGTCTTACTTCAAGACAAAGAAAAAAAGAGAGGCTCGTAATGGAGCGAGTATTTATAGCGGCTATAACATAAGTGATAACAGGAGCTAACTTGTTCCGTGGACGTTCCACAACATCCAACAAGGTTCAACTATAAAGGAATAAAAAAGTATGATGTGTCATTTATTAATAAATAAATAAAAAGTTGTAACAATGTTATAAAGCAGGTTGTTGTGTCTTTATTACAGTTCAGGAGACACTGTCATACACTGAAAAAAAAATCATGGATAAACATATTTAAATTAAGGGCAGAATTTCCACTTAATAAAGTATGTGCTGTAGTTTCAACAAAAAGTAAATAAGTAAATAATTTCTGTGAAACTCATTAAATATAAATATGCACCTTTATGAGCTTAATTTATTGTAGTAACATGGACATTAAACTAATATGTAAAAGCTACATATTTTACATATTTTACCTAAATGGTAATTAATTTAAATACGTTGATCCATGAATGATTTTTTTCAGTGGTATATCTTTTTGAAGTGCTCAGCTTTGTTTAATTTACCTCACTAGACAGGTTACGTCACTTCATCACCCTGTGACACTCTGACATACCAGAAACACACAGATCTATGCACTGTAAGTCAGTCTGGAAAACATCTTAACACAACCTATGTCACTTGACATCAAAACTGATGAAAGCTGGTCTTTATGATAGCTGATGTTTGTTGGAATAAGCCTTTAAGAATGTGTATGTAGGTTTATGTCAGTTGTCAGAAAGGGTTTATGTACAGCAGCCTTAGGAACCAACCTTGTGTAGGTGTTACCCTTTGTTTTATACATTTCATGCAGGCAAGTTTATTTTAAATAATGCTTAATATGCTTTAAATACTGCTGGTAAAATGACAGTATCCTTTAAGTATCATCTAGTGAAGGTTTAGTCAATGTTTGCATTCACTGCTGTATTTAAGCTTCTGCTCAGGCATGGAAAATCTCAGGCCTTACAACACTGTTTAACTCTGAAGCATTGTAGTTTACCTTATATGTTGCTTTTTTGTCCTATTACGGCTGCTTTGATTATGATAATGATGCTAATTTCTCATAACCTTCATGTAAGGACTGGTGCTGGAGAAGCACAGCTACGGGAAAAGAAAAAATTATATAAAAATTATATTATATTTTATATATATATGTATATATATAGAGAGAGAGAGAGAGAGAGAGAAATGCTGTAGAGCAAAGATGCCTTCAAAAATAATAAAATTATATGTTTCTACATTAAAAATATACTATAAAGAGCATTAAACAGTAATAAATGAAACAAAGTCAATGTTTGGTGTGACATCTCTTTGCTTTAAAAAAAAATAGTAGTCTCATGTACAATTAGTGCAGTTTTATAAGAAAATTAGCTGTAAGTTTTACTGAGCATCTTGCAGAAGCAGCCACAGTTCTTCTGGAGACTTTGACTGTCGCACTTGCTTCTTAATTTTGCAGCAAAACCCAGCAGACTTCATGTTTTTTGTCTGAAAAGTGGTCTCTAACAAATTACAATTAAGGCTAATGCAACAATTATCTTATATGTTGCATTCATTGTATAAATCAAAGCACATGCTATAGTGCAGCAAAGCACTTATTATATACTCAGGAAAATACAAGACAGTATTTATGTAGCTTTTCAGCTTTTCAGTTGACCTTCAGTGTAGGACAAAGCATGTCTTGAACAAGCATGACAGGCTTCTGTTCATAATCAAATTGAATTCAATGCATCCATGTGCCTTAGAGGGAAATTACAGAACAATCAACCTTGAAGTTATAAAGCAGCAGTTACACCAGACTTCTGCTTCACTATTTTCAAAATCCATTGATTTTATGTGCTACTGGTGATCAGATTTTATACAGAGCATAGTACTGACGTTAGCTAACTAGCTTTCGACAGATCTTGTTTTTTTTTTAGCAAGATTTAGTTTCTTTTCAAGCAGGGCCATTTCCGAACATTTGGGGGCCCTAAGAGACAACTTACTCAGGGTCCCCCAACTTACACCAATCATAAAATTTTATATGAAAGAAAGAACAGCGTTAATACTTCATTATCTTTCGATGAGGGAAATAGAGTTGAATAAACAATAAAATAAAAACAACTGAACAAGATACTAGCTAGTTCTAGATACTAGATAGCTACATGTAGCTAGTTACTCACTAACCTTTTCAATTTCAATTACATCAGCAAGCGGAAGCAAGAAAGCAGACAAATGATCTAAACTAGCATTCATTTCTTACCAGTGGTTTGGGTTTGTCTCTCCTCTCCTCTCTCCTGCTTTTGACTTTTTGCATTTTTCCACGCCAGATAGATATGAACTCTTCATGATCGCCACTTCTTCATGATGTTTACGAAATTAGTTGCGTATGTTGTAGTTTCTATACTTTTCACACCACAAGAGGGCCCCCTGCGACTGCCTGATACTGAACATTTTCGTCTAAATGATAGTAAAGTGTGTGTAGCAAGTTCCCTTTTTACCATTGAAAATCCTTCATATAAATATCACTCGCATTGCTGAAAAAAAAAGATGATACTACTGAGCTAGGAAGACAGAACCCATTTCTATAAAGCATGGGCTTCACATCCCTGTAGATCACTACACCCTGGAAAGACTCACAGCAAATTAAAAAAAAAATAACAAGAAATCATTTCAGGACACCTGGTACACATTACACAGCCTCACCTCGACCTATGATATATCACTTTATCCTTGCACTATCATAAATGATCTGTAAAGAGAGTTATGGGCGCTGAAAAGGAAATGGTGATGCATAGATATCGGCCCTGCTTAACTTAAACCAAAAAAATATAGCACCCATTCAGTCAGAGTTTATTCGTGTTTGGTCTTAAAGCTGATTGTAATCTACACAACAACGCTAGCTAGAAGGTAAATGTACCTACAACCATTTCACAGAAAAAGAACTTTATTAAGCATTTGGAAGGTCAAACTGTTTAAACTTTATTGCATGTTTGGTCATCAACCTGGCAAGTACATTTTATTTAAATGCCAATTTTATATATACAGTATCATATATGAGAGTCAGCATCAGAAACGGC